ATGTGGACCTCTCTCAGATTTGTTCATTTTGTGATGATATCTTCAGTTCTCTAATTTTGGTGAATATTTTTGTAATTTTTGGTAAAAAGTGATATTTTCGACTTCTTGTTAAAAACTGTAAGTCCGATTGCTTTGATACTATTCATATTGTTCATTTTCTAATGATGTCTTCAGTTCTTGAATTGAAATGTGCATTGCTAACAGCGGAGCTATCTCAGCCGATAGGCTGCTTGTTAATAGTTTTGAGAACCAGATATTTAAATTAATCAAAAAAACAAATGTATATATCTTATTTGCACGCGTATCATATACTGAATCTTTAATATATAATTAGGTTTTTAAACAACTGTGGATCAAATGATACTAGTCAATAAAAGAAGATATTTACCAATGCACAAGGAAATTTTGAAAAGTCTATAATTTGTCAAGCCTTCTAGCCAACCAACATCCTGGCACCTTTCTTTAAAATGATTTATTTTTTTTTTTAGTAAAAATTGTCGACCTCTTGATTAAACCAATCTATACTTGTTAAAGGGAGAATGAATGCTATTTATATTTTAGTTTGTACATTAAAAAAGTCAAATCATATATTAAAACACAAATTTATTAGAGCCTCATCCACAATCACAGTGCACATTGTTCTCAAAATAAATTCAACAGTCATTTAAATTTTCTTCACAAATGACATAACATGGTTCAGACTTTCTGCATTGAGATATGTAAAAACTTCATACAAATTATAATTGAAACTGCAAAAACAATTTTTTTTATTCACACACAGAAATATAATGTATATGTGCAACATTACAATAGTTAAATGCATGTACTGGTAGTCATTTTATTTGTTTCAATTAAGTCTCATTCATGACTGCTAAATGTTCATACTTTTTTAAATAGTCAGTAAAAAAAAAAACATTCACTGTAATAGGTAATGTGTTTTTGTTCATTAAATGTTCATAACATTATTTAAACTTTGGTGGTTGGTGTGATGCATAGTATTTAGTTATGGGTCCCACACGTATCTAGTTTTCACAAAATTTGAACATGTGTTGCAGGAGGACCACTACATGTAGCTGCTTTGTATTTGTAACATACCAGTAATTCCTAAAATGTAGAAACCCATCATATAATGGCGCATCTTTCAGTTACTTGGGTGGGATGGATGGATGGAAGCTTCTTTAGAATTTCTAGTACATTCTACAAAAAATACACAAAACTATTTTCTCATTTGTATTGTCTTTGTTAATAAAACTCATATGTTTAATCATTCTCACTTTAATAGTTATCTATAGAAACCAAATACATGAGGTTTATATGTTGAATTAACATGATTTTGTTATACACTGCATGAATCAATATTTAAGGAAAATGTTTTTCAAGAAAGTATGATCTCAAATTCATAATTTGTATTATTTGTAATTTATTCCTTATAAATTACTTTTCGGTTCAAAAATGAGCAAAGTAGTAATGGAATCTGTGGTCATTTTGAATAACAATTGATGACATCAGTAGACATTTGAATAACAATTGTGATGTCAGTGGCCATTTTGAATAACAATTGATGACATCAGTGGCATTTTGAATAACAATTGGTGAAATTTAAAGAATTTAGGATCATTCTGCCACACTGAACACTGAAGTGTGTGTTGTATATGGAGTATCATTGTACATGATTAGATGAAATCTATTGAAAAGATTGCAGAACTATCATACTATAAACTCAATACAATATACACTGTTGAGAAGACTGCACAACATTTGGTTTATAGAATAACCATCATACTATAAACTCAATATACTACTGTATAAACTGCATGACATTTGGTTTTTAGAACAGCCATCATACTATAAACTCAATACACTATTGTATAAACTGCATGACATTTGGTTTATAGAATAGCCATCATACTATAAACTCAATACACTATTGTATAAACTGCACGACATTTGGTTTTTAGAATAACCATCATACTATAAACTCAATATACTACTGTATAAACTGCATGACATTTGGTTTTTAGAATAGCCATCATACTATAAACTCAATACACTATTGTATAAACTGCATAACATTTGGTTTATAGAATAACCATCATACTATAAACGAATACACTATTGAAAAGACTGCACAACATTTAGTCTTATAGAATATCTACTGTAGAATACTTTATTTTCGCTGCAGGAATGATTCAGTGAAAATAAAATCAAGCAAATATACCGTTTTTTTCTATATTTTACATTAAACTTGTCAAAAATCAGTGAAAATAAATTCTATACAAAACACCCAAAAAGCCTTTTCAGTGAAAATTAATTACAGCTAAAATAAAGCATTTCACAGTATTATACTATAAACTCAATACACTATTGAATAGACTGCATCAAATTTGGTCTTGTAGAATAGCTATCATACTATAAACTCTATTGTAAACACTGCATGACATTTGGTTTATAAAACAGCCATCATACTATAAACTCAATACACTACTGTACCAACTGCATACCATTTGGTTTATAGAATAACCATCATACTATAAACTCAATACACTATTGTATAAACTGCATAACATTTGTGGTTTATAGAATATCTATTATACTATAAACTCAATACACTATTGAAAAGACTGCAC